TGATAACTTGATATCATATTTATCATAGTTATTTATGGAATGTTTGATGTATTTCCTTAATTGTTACATCAATAGTTGGATTGTGTGGTTTAATGCACCGGTATGGGACGGTGGCATTCTAGGGATGGATTAACTTATCAGTTAAGTCCTACCTATTTTATATAAGGGAATGGATTAACTAAAATGTTAAGTCCTACTTATATTTAAGTCAGGTCAGCTGAACAAGTTGAATGACTTATGGAAGATTAATTTATTATATAAGGGAATGGATTAACTAAAATGTTAAGTCCTACTTATATTCAAGTTAGGTCAGCTGAACAAGTTGAATGACTATGGACGATTAATTTATACTGGATAGGATGGTTACTAGATTATATATATATAAGTATGGTGCCATGATATGAGCTCAAGTCTCAAGATCAATGGTTAGGGCGCGTATATCGCCAGGGATGTGTAGCTAGATATAGTGTAGTTGTGTACCCTGGTAGGTCTAGGTACTCATGCCTACTATATGTGCGTTTTGCATGTTGCCTACTATTCAGGTTGAGACAACCCTATAGTCTAGTGAGGTTCCTTTAGTGTGTATATATATATATACGGACTACTAGTTACTGTTGGATTGAGTAGGATGTATACGTGTATCGGATCTCTGCTTGGACTGTAGTAGAGTAGAACTTGTTTGTGGGCCTGACCCACCATTATTTTTCAGATGTTCGTCACGAGTAGAGGTTGTTCGTGCTGAGCGGGGATCAGTCTACTTCATTCTTCCGATGCTACATAAGAGTTCCTTTATGATTCAGTTTCCTGTTTTTGATTACTGTCATTTGTTTAGTTTGGGATTTTCTAGGGGTCCACACAGTATGGATTCCCGAGTTGTATTTTGGAGGATCAGTTGTATCAGAAGAGTTTATTAATTAATGGAAATATATTATGAGGTTTATTATTAGATTATCATTTTAGTTTCTTGTTAGCATTTTATTTATTCTTCTTTATTCTTTTGTACTCTGTGTTTGTTTATTATCAATTTGTTTTGATATCCTCGGGTATTCGGGCGTGGGCCTGGCCAACCCGCATTCGGAAATTCGGGGGTATCACAATTACCACAACCTCACCGGGATCTCTCCTCTTTGATCTTTGTGTATATATATATGAAGATGCAAAGAATTATCTCTCTCTATTTTGACAGAGTTCCATTACATTTTCAATAATCAGATCCCTTTACATTCTCTCCTTCCTACCTATTTATAGGCATTTACAAATGCTATTAGAGTGCTATAAGTGATTCCCTAAGTTGGGTCCCTTAACTTCAGGCCTCATTCCTTATGGGCCTAGCTCTTCTCGGAAGATCCCATGCATTCGGCCCATTCCGCAACGTCATTGTGTGGGCTGAATCCAGATTCTCGGCCCGATACTCTTTTTGTGGGTCATATCCGGCCCATGTTACTTCCGGTATCCTCAACTGCCCCCATAATTACTCCCTAATTAATTTGGGGGTAATTATTAGAGGCTGCTAATCATGGCTTGACGGCTCGAGAAGATCTCATGGAAGAATGGATGGTTGGATTTGGGAGTTGGTGCTTCGAGATTCAAAAAACTCCTCGCTTTCCTGACTTCTTGGCCTTCGGGCCCACCTTATCTTTATAAACCTCAGAGACATTCCATCAATTCTTTTTACCATCTCTATCTCGCTTTACTGTTAGTCGAATCTTCATCGGTCTCCTTTTAGTTAAATCCCCTCCGACGAACTTTTGCAAAAGCTTCTTTTTCCGGTGATCTTGTAGTGCTTTTCGTAGTGTTCAATCTTTCGAGGTTAGTCTTGCTTTTTTCTTCTCCTCTAGGGATTTGCTGTTCTTCCTCAGAATCTTTGTTTGTTTTCACCATGACTATAGACTTAGATGTTCTTCGTATGAAACTTAACCTTCCTGATGACATTCAAATTAGGGCTTGCCCAAAAGATGTAAATATTAGGACTGGTGCTGGCCTTCTTCCCGGCGAGGTCTTGTTTTCCAATCTTCAATTAAATCTCATTAGGTTCCCTCTGCATCCCTTCTTTAGCTACGTTTTTAATAAACTAAAACTTTCCCCTTTGCAAGTAAACCCAAATTTTCTTAGGGTTCTATCCGTTATGTTGCTTCTGAACCGTGACCGAGGTCTAGATCTTGACCTCATAGATCTTCTCATCTGTTACAAGGTTAGCAAAATCCGAACTGATGAACCGTTTTACCATTTCTATCCAATTGAGAAGAGGTCCATATGCAAAGATAAAATCAAATCTGAGAAGGGTTGGAGGAAAAATATAATTGGGATTAGAGGGGCTTGGTTTTCTCCAGCCGTAGAGGACTTCCCTATCCCGAGCGCTTTTGGCCAGTGCTCTGTCTCTTCGTATAAAAAATACAAAAACCATAAGAGTGACTGCCCTTGCGAGATTTGCGTTCCTCGCTTTTGTACTTTCTTATGCCGTTCCTTAGGCATTCCTTGTGATGATTTGAGCTACGGTGTTTGCAGGGATAGGGATAACTATTTTGAGAAGTACGTTCTGAACGACATTCCCTCTTGCTCGGACCTCCTTACCTCAAACAACCTTCTTGCTTTCTCAGCCCTTGGCAAGACAATGATTCAACTCTAGATCCCTTCCTTCGGCAGGAAGAAAGTTGCCCCCAGGACCGTTGTTACCCCTGCGGCAACTTCCTTCCCAGTTTCGGTATCTTCTTCTGCCACTATTTTTGATACCATTCCTTCTATTGACCCGACCGTGACAGCTACCGGCCCGGTCTCTAGCATTCCACCCGTCAATCCGAACGTGACCCCTTCCGTCAGCAACCTTCCCAGCTCTGCTACTGTTGCTGCTCGGGAAAAGGCGAGAGGAAAAAGGCCTCATCCTGCCAGTGCTCTCAGCATTGATAACATCCCTTTGTCACAAAGGGTTAGGCCCTCTGGGCCAAGTGTGTCCGTGCCTCCTCTGACTAGGCCCCCTCTGACTAGGCCTCCTACCCTCTCTGGAGCTACCTCCGTTAACGCCTCTGCCTCTGTATCGACCCCATAGAACCCTCGTTTTATTCGAACGGACGGATCGTCTGTAAAGCCAGATGAGACCATGTTCGAGGATGGTCAGACCGCTATGGCATACTACAGGAGCATGTGGACTCCTAAAGATATTGAGGTAGCCAAGGGTCTGTCTCAGAAAGAAGTGTTCAGCTGGTTCCCCTTATCTGCCATGGAGGTAACTTTTACCCCTCAGTCAATGAATCTTTTCATAGTCTTTACATTTGATTTCTTCTGACCATCTGCTCGGCTTAATCAGTTATCATGTATATCTCTATAGACCCTGTATGGGATGATGGCCATGCAAAAACAGGTTGAGCTGGTTAAGGCCAAGGTTTGTATGTTCTCTGACAACCTTGGTGCAGCTAGCAAGGAGAACGATGCTTTAGGTGCTCAAAATACCGAGCTGATGGTTCAGCTCGACAAAGTTGAGAAAGAGAGGGACGCTCTGAAAAAGGAAACTGACTCCCTTCAGGATGAAAGGGATGCTCTTCAGATTGAGAAGAGTGTTTGGCAGACCGAGCGCGAGTCGCTCAGGAATGAAAAAGGAGAACTTCAGCGCCTTTTGGCTGATGAGCAATCCGCTCAGGTGGCCTTTGAAAAGAGAGCTCTGGATGAGCGTGATGCTCTGCTCAGCACCATTGGTAAGGTAAATGGTGGTATGCTGGCTCTTCATGCTCGGTTTTCCAGGATAGGTGCCCTCAGGTATGCACAGGGGTTCCGTGAGGGTTACACCAACCGCGTTCCTGCTGAAGGCCAGACCGGTTCTACTCTGGATGAAGTTGATAAGGAGTTGGACATTGATTCTCTAAGAACCTATGTTGATCCAGATTCCACTCCTACTGAGCATATTTTTTATGAGTGTCAGGAGATTGCTTCTTCTAGGGTCGCTCCTACTCCTACCACTGATCAACCTTTGGACATGCCTCCTCTGTCCACCCTGGTCCCTTCTGCGACCACCGTCGAGGTTGAGACTTAGCTGATCAACTATGTTATTCAGCTTGATTCTCCTCCTCGTAAAGATGGGGTGACCAATGGTGGCGAAGATATAAGTCAGCTCAACCAGGGGGTGATGGAACAGAGGCAGCCAGTTAGGGTTCTCCTGTTGCCACAATTTTTATTTTTTTTTTGTATCAATGTCATCTATACACTTCACAGGTTGTAACCTCAAAGATTCCTATTATAAATGAGATGACAGATTTTTGGCTGAACTTTGCTCCAAAATTTTTATATTTTCCCATTGATTACACCTGCACGTCAGAAATAACAATTAATTTATTTTTGGCATTCGGCTCATAGTGCCAGCTGCCACTCACTTTGCAAAGTGGTTGGCGCTCGGCTAGAATGCCACTTGCCACTGTCATTCTTCATTTTGGCATGTTTTTGGCGTTCAACTCATAGTGCCAGCTGCCACTAACTTTGTAGAGTGGTTGACGCTTGGCTAGAATGCCACTTGCCACTTTCACTCTTTTCCTTTTTTGGCAAGTTTTTGGCGTTTGGCTCATAGTGCCAGCTGCCACTAACTTTGCAGAGTGGTTGGCACTCGGCTAGAATACCACTTGCCACTGTCACTCTTTATTTTGGCAAGTTTTTGGTGTTCGGCTCATAGTGCCAGCTGCCACTAACTTTACAGAGTGGTTGGCGCTCGGCTAGAATGCCACTTGCCACTGTCACTCTTTATTTGGCAAGTTTTTGGCGTTCGGCTCATAGTGCCAGCTGCCACTAACTTTGCAGAGTGGTTGGCGCTCGGCTAGAATGCCACTTGCCATTGTCACTCTTTATTTTGGCAAGTTTTGGTGTTCGGCTCATAGTGCCAGCTGCCACTTACTTTAAACTTTTTTTTTTTTTACCCAGTCAATCCTTTTAAAAGAAGACAATATCTTTATAAACTTTAGAATTTTGTACCTTTGTACGTACACAATTGAAAATGGATAGAACCAAAATTGAAATTCAACTTTCTATGGACAATACCTCTTTAGAAATGTAGCATTCCATGGCTTGTTAACCAGCCTTCCAGCCATAGTCTCTAAGGTATATGCCTCCTTCCCAATTACTTCTGCAATTCTGTATAGGCCTTCCCATGGTGGCATCATCTTTTTTACTATTCCCACCTTCTTTTTCAGAACCAGATCACCAAGGGCAAAGTCTTTATGCTTCACTCTCTTGTTGTGACTGTTCACCAATGTTTGCTGGTAGGATGCGAGCCTTATTGCTGCGGCATCCCTTTACCCTTCTAACATATCAAGGTTAAACCTTAGTATACTGTCGTTCTGACTTTGACTCCATGCTAGGCTTCTGATAGTTGGAACCAAGTGCTCAACCGGTATAACTGCCTCAGAACCATATGCCATTGCGTATGGACTTTCCCTGGTCGGCCGTCTTGGGGTTATTCTGTAAGCCCATAAGACATTCAGGAGTTCATCTAACAATTTTCCCTTCTTCTCCTCGAGCTTTTTCTTGATGCAAGCGAAGATTGTTCTATTCATGATCTCAGCCTGACCATTTGCCTGCGGATGGCTAACCGCTGCCAACTTCTGGTTGATTCCATATTCTTCTAGCAATTTTTTTACTTGCTTGCTGTCGAGATTAGTTCCATTGTCCATGACGATCGATCTTGGAACACCAAAGTGGCAAATAATATTACTCCATATAAAGCGCCTCACATGTGTTTGGGTTACACTTGGATATGGTTCTGCCTCAACCCACTTAGTAAAGTAGTCTGTCGCCAGCAGAATGTACTTGTTCTGAGCTCTTGCAGTTGGCAGAGGACCAACCACATCCATCCCTCACTGTGCGAAAGGCCATGGTGTGGCTATTACGTGCAAGTCTTCAGGTGGTTAGTGGATCAATGGTCCAAACCTTTGGCACTTGTCGCATCTTCTAGAAAATTCTTCGGCATCTCTTGACATGTTCGGCCAGAAGTACCCCTGTGTCATTGCTTTATGCGCTAAAGACCTCCCCCCTGAATGATTGCCACATACTCCTTCATGGATAGTCCTCAATATCTGCCGAGCTTCTACAGGGGTGACACTTTTCAAGTATGGTCCAGAAAAAGATCTCCTGTATAATTGGTTATGCACTATGGCATACTTTGCTGCATTTGATTTGACTTTTCTAGCTTCGTCTCTTCGCTCAGGCAGAATGCCATCCCGGATATAAGTTACGATCGGATCAATCCAACTTGGCTCATATGGGATAACATTCACCTGCCAAGGATCTGAGCCCGAGGGTTCTTCGAAAATGGATGGCTGGTTCAACACACCTACTAGGATCACCCTTGCCAATGTCTCTCCAGAACCCGAGACGCTACATGCTAGCCGATCGGCATCTTCATTATGCTCTCTCGGTACTTGGATGAATTTAATGTTTTCGAAGTCTCTGGCCTCGCGCATGATAGCAGAATGGTATGCTTCCATCATCACATCCTTGGTTTCATACTCGCCATTTACTTGCCGAATAATCAACTGCGAGTCACTAAAGACAGTCAAATTCCTGACCTTCAACTCTTTGGCTAACTCAAGTCCAGCCAACAGTGTCTCGTACTCTGCTTCATTGTTAGTGGCTTGGAACTTAAGTCGGAGTGCTTGACTTAGGGACGTGCCTTCTGGTGTCTGCAGTTTGACTCCAATGCCTGCCCCCATCTGATTTGAGGATCCATCAACAAAGAGTTTCCACAAGCGACCTCGAAGGTCTTCTTCTACGTCTTCTGAATCACATTCCAGTAGGAAATCAGCCACTGCTTGCCCTTTGATTGCCATTCTAGGTTCATACGTTATGTCAAATGAGCTTAATTCTATGGCCCACTTCATCATCCTTCCCGAGAGGTCTGGCTTATGTAGGATTATTCTTATAGGAAAAGTGGTTTGAACGACGATGGGATGGGATTCAAAATAATGCCTGAGCTTTCTTTTCGCATGTACTAGCGAGAGTATCACTCGCTCGGCCCTGGAATACCGTCGTTCTGCCTCAATCATTGTTTTGCTAACATAGAACACAGGATATTGTTTTCCCTCTTTACAACGGATCAGAACGCCACTTGTCGCGATGCTGGATACCCCGAGGTATAAAAATAGCTTTTCTCCTGGTTCAGGGGCCAATAGGACCGGAGGGTTTTGCATATATTCCTTCAAACTAGTTAGTGTTTGCCGCTGTTCATCCCCCCAGGCCTGTCTGCCATGGCTTCGAATAGTATCAAAGAACGGCTTGCAGCGATCTGACAACTTAGAAATGAAATGGCTTAATGCAACTATCCGGCCTGTGAGGGCTTGTACTTCTGTAATTGTCTTCGGTTCAGCATTCTTGGTTAGAGCCTCTGCTTGGACTAGGCTGGCTTCTATACCTCTATGGTTAACCACATGCCCCAGGAATTGACCAAAACTCATGCCGAATGAACATTTAGTTGGATTAAGCCTCATTCCATATCTTCTGAACACATTAAATACATCCTAAAGATGTTTTAGATGGTCAAATTTCTTCTTGCTTTTCACTACCATATCGTCAATATAAGCCTCTACAGTTCTTCCCATTTGATCTTTGAAAATCTTGCTGATCAGCCTTTGGTAAGTTACCCCAGCATTCTTTAGTCCGAACGGCATAACTTTGTAGTAATAAGTCCCTCATTCGGTAATAAAAGAAGTTTTCTCTTCGTTAGCTGGGTCCATAAAGATTTGATTATAACCTGAATAAGCATCCAAAAAAGTTAAACGCTTGTATCCAGTAGTGGTATCCACCATTTGATCAATCTTTCTTCTTCTGCACAACAACAACAACATTCGAGAGCCATTCTGGGTACTGCACTTCTCTAATGAACCCGGCATCAAGCAATCTATTAACCTCCTCGGCTATGATCTGATTGAGCTCTGGAGCGAACCTTCTCTGCTTCTGCCTTACAAGTTTGACATTCGGATTGATGTTAAGAGAATGATAAGATACAGAAGGATTGATTCCAGGCATGTCTAGGTGGCTCCATATGAATACATCGGCATTCTGAGACAAGAAATCAACTAACTCCTGCTTTTCCCCCTCAGCAAGTCTTACGCCCACTCTGGTCGTTCGTTCTGGTCGAAATTGATCGATCTATACATCAACTAGGGGCTCTTCGGTTAAGTCCACTGGCTCCTCCTCCCCATTTTGCTTGGGTAAAGGTTCCTGTAATTGCTATCTCGGGTTCGCCGAACGGATAGGTGCTTTCCCTTTTCCAGCACATTTCAACGTTACTGAATAACATTCCTTAGCTGCAACCTGATCCCCATGAATGTCAATTACCTTGGTTTTGTCTAGCCCCAGGCATCTCATTACTTGATGCAGAGTGGAAGGAACACCTTAAATTCTGTGGATCCACCCTCTACCCATCAGAAGGTTGTAAGAGGGATAGATCTCGACAACTACAAAGCTCTCCATCAGAACCCTTTCTGCAGCATACACTGCTACTTCCACCACTCCAATGGGTTCCACCCGCTTTCCATCGAACCCGAGCAAGGGATTGCCAGTGGGCTTGAGCCTATTGGGCTTTATATCGAGCCGATCAAATGTATCCCTCAGCATAACATTCGCAGTACTTCCAGGATCAATCAGAACACTTCATACCAAGCATTCGGCCACTGTCAAACTAACCACTAACGGGTCCTCATGAGGGACCTGAATACGCAACAAATCAGTTTTGTTAAACTTTATCTATGTTGATGCGCTCTGCTGCTGCAGAGTGTTTACACTGCCTATCCTCCTCTTCATTTGTGCCTAGCGGAGTCGCGTTCGAAGCATTTCATCTGACTCTTCAGTGGGTTCAGGCCGGCCATGGATTGCATTGATTATTCGAACTGGTTGCGAGTTGTGGGAGTTCGGCTTCTGATTCCTCTTCACTTGCTCCGTCGGTCGGCTCTGCTCTACCACTGGGCCTTGAATATAGCTTGCGAACTCCCCTCTGGTTATCAACATCTCCACCTGCTTCCTTAAGTTCCTGCATTCGTTAGTCTGATGGCCAAAGTCAGAATGGAAAGCACAATGCTTAGACTGATCTCTCTGCTCCAGGGGTTGTCTGATAGGTAAAGGAGGTCGGAACTTATCTTTGTTTTCTTGGTACAGCCTTGCTAGAGTAACTTTCAATGGAATGACCAATTCCTCTTACCCGGGCCTCTTTTCTGCTTTCCAAGGGGTCTGTCGTTGCGATGGAGCTGGCTTTTGCCTGATCTTGGCTTTGTACTTTTCCTCCGTTGAGATAATTGACGTTTTCCTTGCATTGGCTGCCTCTTCTTCTTCCAAACGAACAAATCCATCAGCTCTTTCGTTCAGCTCGTCCATGGTCTATGGCGTGTTCACCACCAGACTTGTGTGGAACGAAGTCCCACGAATCATGGCCAGCTTGAATGCCTGAACCGCCGTGGACGGATGGCACTCGATCATCATGCTCTTGGTTAAATTGAATCTGGTAAGAAAAGCTTGGAGGCGTTCATCTTCATGCTACCTCATCGTGAATAGACTGGAGACATCTTTCGCTGGGTGCTTATTCCCATAGTACTAGCTGATGAACCGATCGCAAAGGCTTCGGAAACTATCAATCGAGCCCCTCGGTAAGTTTTTAAACCAATTGAGCGCTGGTCCAACTAAGCTCATTGGAAAACATTTGCATATGAAGGAGTCGGTCTCCGTGTTCAGAGCCATCTTCAACTAGATATGATATACATGATCGATCGGATCAGTCGTTCCGTCAAACAGGATAAAAGCTGGCATGGAGAATTTCCTCGGACTCGGAGCATTCAGAATTTCATCGATAAACGGCAAGTCAACCGTCCGAGCTGCTAAACGAAGGGCCTCATTCTCTCTATGGAACCTTGCGGCGGCTCTCTGATCCATAGATCTCCTTTCTGAGCTTCGGTAATCTAACGTAACCATTGAAGGTCGATAAAGTGAATTGGATAATCTCTCCTCCATGTATTCCTTCTGTTAGACCGGTGTAGTTTTGTGATGTCCAAACTCCACAGCTTCTTCTCGGTTGGACCTCTCCTGATACGGATTAAAAGTCATTGCCTCGTTCCGCCTGATCTGCTCACGTCGTGGATCTAAGTGAATTGAGCTTTCTCGATCATTAAAACGATGACGATTTGGCGGCAAATCATCTGGCCTAACCTCCTCGTGACGAGGATTTGTCAGATTGTTCTCTTCCTCTTCACCTTGACGCGCAGCAACATGATGCATAACCTTTTCACCCGCAGGAAGCGGTTACAGAATCACCGGAGTTTCTTGGCGCTGCATTCCAACTTTCAACTCTGCATTCTCTTTCCTGAGAACTTTGATCATGTTCATCAACTCATCAAGCTTCATCTGCTGGACATTCTCCACCGGATTGGAGCTCTCGCCTCCTATCATGATTCTGGAGTAAAGCAAAGGCATGAATCACAAGATCTTAATCAGATCTGAGCTTTACTGATGCAAATCTCGTCGAATCTGGACTCAAATTCACCGAATCGAGATCACAGTTTGCTAGATCTGAGCTTTTCTAGCTTCTAACTCACCGGATCTAGCTGTGATCAAGCAAATCTCAACTGTGTAATTCCAACGTAAACACGTCAAAACCAACAGTAATAAAGAATTCCTTCAGAAAGAACTGCAATATCTCAGATTTGGATTCAATTTCTAGAATTCTAGCTTCATCTTCACGGATTAGTTTGAATTAATATGACATCAATCAAGCATGAATGAATGTTCTTCATCGTTTCCCACAGACGGCACCAATTGAAGATACAAAGAATTACTCTCTCTATTTTGATAGAGTTTCATTACATTTTCAATAATCAGATCCCCTTACATTCTCTCCTTCCTGCCTATTTATAAGCATTTACAAATGCTATTAGAGTGCTATAAGTGATTCCCTAAGTTGGGTCCCTTGACCTCAGGCCTCCTTCCTTATAGGCCTAGCTCTTCTCGGAAGATCCCATGCATTCGGCCCATTCCGCAACGTCATCTTGTGGGCTGAATCCAGATTCTCGGCCCGATGCTCTTTTTGTAGGTCATATCCGGCCCATGTTACTTCCGGTATCCTCAATGTATATATATTATGTATATCACCATCAACACCACTTCTACTAACATCATCACTACCCAATCCGACCCACCAAGAGGAACTGTAGATTAAACCCAGTTTTTTCTCTCTCTCTCACAATATTTCTCAAACCCCCAATCCGAAACCCCATACACATGAGAAGATGATGCCTTCAACATCTACAATTACGTGTGTGTTCGTGACCGGTTCGTATTGTGGAGGTTGCGGTGGTGTGACTCGTAAGTGGTGGTTGCGGTGGTAATCGGTGAGTGGAGAGAGAGAAAGAGGGGGTGGGCAGTGGCGGGGGATGTTGGCGATGGTGGTACTGGAGGTAGATAGAAAATGTTGTATATTCACTTAAGGTAGTATGGTCATTTTAGGTGGTTAAAGGGTAAAAAAGTATTTTCATTATGGTTAGGGTGTCTTTGTATAGTTTTTCAAACTTAGGGGGTGCCATTGTCCAAAAGTAGCCTAAATTGTATCCACCCATCTTTTAGGCAAACCTGGGGGGTGTCACTGTAAATTATCCTATAATTTAAATTTTCAAAAACAAATTAAAAACACTCTTTACCAAACGTATTTCATGTTTTTGTTTGAATAATTTTGGCTACAGTTTGACTTTGCCGAACATGTTTTGTTTTCATATTTCTTGAAACGAAATATCTTGCCAAACATGTTATACATGTTTCTGTTCCGAAGTTTTCACTGCCAATTTTCGTCACCAAACATATTTTCGTTTTTAACTCAGAACACTCCATAACAAAACACTTGTTTTGTTTTAGGTTAAAATAAAACGACAAAAACACAACGCGTGCCAAACAGGACCTTAATGATCCATTTTAATTAACCCAGAAAGTGATATTGTTATTCTAGCATGATGTTCATAAATTGTTGTTGAAACCTGATATAATCTTTAGCCAACAATTAAAAATTTAATATTTAAAAAACTTTTACTGGAAAGGCCAAAAATCATAAGAAATTAGAATCCAGTCCAGAGGAAAATAAATAAATAAATAAATTTAAGAGTACATAAAAATATATATATATGTATAGAGAGAGAGAGAGATAGAGAGAGAGAGAGTCCTGCTCTTTTGTTTATTACGGACTAGGAAAAAATTCTCCATATAGTGATGACAGTCATATTACAAACCCACTTTTCTCTTTGAACTAATCCAGCAAAACACTCTACTTATTTAAAAGTTTCTTAAACCATTTTTCTATTTATTTAAAGTTTTCTAAACTAAAATTACCAAAAAATAAAAAACAAAAATTCTAGTACCAATCAATAGTGGATTCAAGAGAGTTTTAAAACCCATTCAATTTGGATAAAATATTGTTATCAATTAAAGATTCAAAATTTTGGGTCCTAAAAGGCCTATA